TGCCATCTTAGGCCCAATCCCCTGGGGAGTGGGCCTAAGCCAGCAGGTGGTCATCCCATGAGGGGTACCAGACTGCGAGAGGGCACAGGCCGGGCTGAGGGACCCCCCCGCCCCCCTGAGTGCACAAATTTTTGTGCACCGGGCCTCTAGTAAAAATAATAAAATCCTGTCTTTGCAAAAACATGGATGTAGCAGGGTAATACAATCCTAAGTGAAATAAGTCAGGAAAAGACAAATATTACATGATTTTCCTTATACATGGAATGTAAAAATGTCATACTCAGAGAAGCAGAGAGTAGAATGGTGGTTGTCAGGGGCTAGAAGGTTTAGAAAATAGGGCCATGTTGCTCAAAGGGTACAAAGTTTCAGTTATGAAATATGAAAAGCTCTGCAGATAAGCTTAACACAATGTAAATAAACTTAACACTACTGCACTATGTACTTAAAAGTAGTTAAGATACTATATTTTATATGTATTTTACCATAATAAAAACCCTTTTTAGTATTACACCATTTGAGTTTCCATAATCTTTAAAAAATACTTTCTAATATTCTGTCAAAACGGTGTGGTAGATACACTATATGTACTTTTCCCCCTTGAAGTGGATATTAACTTTCAACAGGGTACATAACTATTGAAGAGATGGGCATAAAATGCATACCAGAGCAATTCCTGCAGCAAGCTTTGGATCGCATGCCCTTCCATGATATGTTGCTCCCACATAATTTGGATAATCCCTATAACTAAATAATAAAAATTTTCTTGAGGATAAGTGCATTTTAAATGATTAATAATTTAATGACTTTTTAAGAATTGGATTCCTCAATGAAGCTATGTTTTCGTTAAAATGCGAATATTACATATCAACTCCAATGCATTTAATCATTTTTGTATTTGGGTAACCATATATAGTTCCTACAAAGTTAAGTTCTAAGAAACGTTTCAACATTATTTGATACACTTCCCAGAACATAGCAGTGTCTGATCCTTCCAAATATTTAATTAACACTGTTGTCACTTCTGGGTGGATATAATTCTAGGTTGTAACAGTCAGGATAGCATACTGCCATGATTTTCACATAGCAAAACCTTTAAAGTATATAAAAATGTTGGATTGGAGCACAAATAGAGAGACAGAATATGCAGCAGACTCACTAAGAAAAAGAGAAATAGGATGTACAAACTCTCCTCATTCGTTTTAGTTCTTAAAGTTGCTCCTAAATTCCCAAACCTCACCTTAGATTCTACAGGATACACCAAAATATTTATAAGTGTATTCTACAATTCTTTCAGACTTCAGAATTATGAGTTTTTTAAATCTAAAATAATGAAATTATTAAAACAAAAATCTATACATAATCCCTTGAAAGGTATACTGCAAGTAATTAAATAGCTACAACTCAGGTCAATATAGGAATACCAGAGGTAAGCACATTACCATTTTAATCTGGTGAATTGCAACCAGCTTTATATACAACTAGAAGCCCGGTGTACAAAATTTGTGCCCAGCAGGGGGTCCCCTCAGCCCAGCCTTCACCCTCTCCAATCCGGGACCCCGCGAGGGATTGGGCCTAAACCGGCAGTCAGACATCCCTCTCACAATCCTGGATCGCTTGCTCCTAATCACTCACCTGCCTGCCTGCTTGCCCCTAACTGCCCCTCCCCGCCAGCCTGATCACCTCTCACTGACTCTGCATGCCAGCCTGAATACCCCTAAATACCCCCACTTCCAGCCAGGTCGCCCCCATCTGCTCCCTCCCTGCTGGCCTAGTCGCTCCTAACTGCCCCGCCCCCCTGCCAGCCTGGTCACCCCACACAGCCTGCTGTTCAGTCATTTGGTTATCCCTCACTAACCCCGCCTGCTGGCTTGGTTGCCCCACTCAGCCTGCTTGTTCAGTCATTTGGTCACCCCTCACTAAACCCCTGCCAGCCTGATCACCCCACGGCGCCTGCTTGTTTAGTTGTTTGGTCATCCCTCACTAACATCCTTGCCTGCCTGGTCATAGGCAGCCATCTTGTGAAGGCATGAGGGTTAATTTGCATATTACCTCTTTATTATATAGGATTATTGCATTCTCTTAACTTATTATATTTTATTTAATGTGAAAATGATGGTTTCAGGTATTTGCATCTAAGAAAATTTTTAAAACCTCAGAGGCCCATGTATATCCCAAGACTTCCTATATTTTCCAGTTCATTACATTTTCACAGGTAAATAGTCCACTCTGAGAATAATGGCCTACCATGATTTTTTATGCTACTTTGTTGTCTGATGTTTTTATTTTGTACTTTGCCAACATTGTACTCATACACTCTTTTTTGTCATTATACTTAACATTTATATGTAGTTTTGATAGCTAAAATATCAAATAATTTGATAAACAATGCAATAAGGAACTTACATCAACAAGAATGCCATATCATGGGACCTCTGAAACAAACTGTTTTCTTTCCATGACACAAATCTTTGTAGTAGTTCACTAACATGCCCAGTACATAAAATCTTATTTTGATCTGACCAGATCTCCAAAGATGTTAACATAACAGTCAGTTTCAGCTGGGAAAACATCTAAAAACAGAAGATGCATGATATACAGTTTAGACAATCACAAATATAACATTACAGCTCTATACAGAATGCTAGTATATTCAATTTACTGTAATTTGAAGATGAAACCCATAGGAAGTGAAACAGGTTGGTAGGACTATACTTTTATAAAAATGTTAATTCTATTCATACAAATAATGTTATTGCATAATTGAGAATGCTTCTTATTTAGAATACAAAGCATAAACACTTACAGTGTTGATAAGACCAAAGATATGGACAATTTTCTCAGTTGCAATGGCCACTTCAGAGCCCATATAATCATACTGAAAGACAAGTTCTATTTCTTAGTCACAAGTGAAAATTACTAAGTTACCACATTTCAATAGATATGAAATACTATAATAAGTGACTAAGTGAAAGACAAAAAGCAGATTAAGATTTATCAAATGCTTAATAAACATACAGACTTTATATATTAATAAATAATATGAAAATTATGAGATTATGACATCTTCCTGTTCACACATGCAAAAATTAAGCATCAAAATTTAACATTCCAAGAATGTATAAATACTTTTTTATAGCAAAGCCTATAAAAAAGATACTGTGAGTAAATTAAAATTAAAACACCTACTTTACGAAGACATAGATATATTAAAAATATGAAATTATATACCAGGAAGTTACTAGACAAAAAGCAGTTGTCATATAATATGATAGTTATATTAATTAACATAATCATTACATTACTATAAAAACTTAAGCCCCCCAAAATAAAACTAAAAAAAATAAAATAAAAACTTAAGCCTAAAAATAAACATAATATTTACCAATATAATTGAATATTGATAAAATATTCATCAGAAAGATAGAAGCATTCTAAATGTGTTGGTAACTAAGCACAGCAACAAAATGTATAAAATAAACTTTAACAGAATTATAAATAGAATGTAAGTATCATAGTAATGGATTTTACATAGTTCCCTTAATTATTAATAAATCTGGGCTACCTTGCTGTCATGATGGCAGGATAGGTAAATGCTTTGCTTGCCTTTTCCCATTTTCCCACAATGACATAAAAATTACAACTAAATTACAGAACAGCCATCAAAGAGAACCTCCTTAAGACTAGCTGAACACAAGGCCTATGACTTAGGATAAAAAGAGGGAGCTATGGCAAAATGGATAAGAGAAACAGAAATACTGAACAGGCTGGTCCCATACCAACAGTGTGGCAGTTATGCAAGGAGAGGGTTATCTAAGCTAAGGAGGTACTCCTGAGGAGCAGATGAATTCAATTGAGACTTTTAGGACATTTTGCCCAACTGCAGGACATTTTGCCTAATGTGGACATGCATAATTTAGTAGGAGAAACCACATGTTAGGCCAGAAATAAGTCTCAATAAATTTGAGAAGACTGGCCCTGGAATGTGTCTTTCAGTTGATAGGAATGTTGTCCTGTACACCAAAGGGTTGTGGATTCAAATCCTGATCAGTGCACATGCACATATTGTAGGTTTGATCCCTGGTGAGGGTGCATTTAGAGGCAACTGCCCAATATTTCTCTCTTACATGGATCTCTCTCTCTCTCTCTCTCTCTCTCTCTCTCTCTTTCTTTCTCTCTCTCCCTCTTTCTCTCTCTCTCAAAAATCAGTAAGAATTTATCATCTGGTGTGGATATAAAAAAAAAACTGTAAAGATTTAAATCACATCAAGCATCTTCTCCAATCACAACTCTATGAAACAAAAAATAAGTTACCAGAAGAAAAGTGAAAAATAAAAAGCACATAAGAATAAATATCATGCTACTGGACAAGAAATGAATTAACAATAAGATAAAAAATTAAAAAGATACCTTGAGATAAATGAAAACACAATCATCCATAATCTATGGCACACAGCCAAAGTAGTGCTAGGAGAAAAATTTATAGCAAGAGAGGCATAACTCACAAAGCAAGCATAATCGCAAATAAACACTATAACTACACCTCAAGAGAGTAGAAAAAGGACAAACAAAAACCAAAGTCAGTAAAATGAAGAAAATACTAAAGATCACAGTGAAAATAAACAAAGTATAGTCTGAACAAAAACAATAGGAAAGATTAATGGAACCAAGAGCAGGATCTTTGAAAAGATAAACAAATTTGATGGACATTTACTCAAAATCATCACAAAAAAAGAGAAGCTTCAAATAAAAATATTAGAAATGAAAGAGAAGTGAAAACTGGTACCACATAAATGCAAAAGATTATATAAAAATAGTATGATCGATTATATGCCACAAAGTGGACTACCTGGAAGAAACAGACAAATTCCTGGGAAAATACAATCTTCCAAGTCTGAATCAGGAAGAAACAGAAAATCTGAAAAAAAAACAACAACAAAAAAACTGCTAATGAAATCAAAGCAGCAAGAAAAACTATCAACAAACAAAAGTCTTGGACCAGATGGCTTCACAGGTGAATTTACCAAACATTAAATAATGAATACCTAGTCTTCTCAAATATTCCAAAAAAATGAGGAGGGAAGAAGGCTCCCAAACTCATTTTACTAGGCCAGCATTAGCCTGATAACAAAACCAAAGACATTACAAAAAATAATAAAAATGCAGGTCACTGTCTCTGAAGAACATCAATGTAAAATTCCTCAACAAAATATTAGTAAAATGAATTCAGTGATACATTAAAAAGGTCATATACCATGATCAAGTGGGTTTTTTTCATGGGATGCAAGGCTAGTTCAATTAATGTGATACACCATATAAGTAAAATGAAGGAAAAAATTCTCATTATCATATCAATAAATGAAGGAAAAGCATTGGACAAAATCCAACATCCATCTATACTAATAAAAGGGTAATATGCTAATTAGACTGGGTTGACCAGATATCTTCTGGTCGCCCTGCCTTCCTTCAGAACAAAGCCATGGTGGCAGGGGCCAAGGCAGAGGTGGTTAGGGGCGATCAGGCCAGCAGGGGGGAGCAGTTAGGGGCAATCAGGCCAGCAGAGGGTAGCAATAAGGGGCGATCAGGCTGGCAGGGGAGGGCAGTTAGGGGCGATCATGCCAGAGCAAGGGAGGGCAGTTAGGGGCGATCAGGGAGGCAGGCAGGTGAGCGTTAGGACTCAGCAGTCCAGATTGCAAGAGGGATGGGGCCTAAACCGGCAGTCAGACATCCCCTGAAGGGTCCCGGATTGAAGAGAGTATAGGCCGGGCTGAGGGACCCCACCCCTATGCACGAATTTTGTGCACTGGGCATCTGGAGTTGAATAAAAGGGGTGAAAGTGGACAACTTTGTCTTGTTACTGATCTTAAAGAAACAACTTTCAGCTTTTCATGGTTGAGCATATTAGTTGTTTGTCAGATATGGCTTTTATTATGATGAGGTCTTTTTAGTCTATCCCCACTTTTCTGACAGTTTTTATTATTAACTAGAAGCCCAGTGCATGAAATTCGTGCCCTCCCCTACTGGTCCAATTGCCCCCAATTGCCCTCCCCTGCTGGCCTAGTCGCCCCAAACTGCCCTCAGCTGCCACACTTCTTGTGGTGGCCATCTTGTGGCAGCCATATTGTGGTGGCCATATTGTGGCAGCCACCTTGTGATGACATGGGGGTGGCCATCTTGTGACAACATGGGGGCGGCCATCTTGTGATGATGTGAGGGCGTCATGCGAGGGTACGAGGGCCACCTCGGCTTTTATTAGTATAGATATAGTATTGGAAGACATAGCCACAGCAGACAAGATAGATAAATAAAGGGCATCCAAATTGGAAAGGAAGAAGTGAAACTGTTATTTGCAGATGAAATGATACTATAGAGCGAGAACCCCAAATAATCAACCAAAAATGTTTAAAATTAATAAATGAATTCAGCAAAGTACAATATTGATTATTCAGAAATCATTTCTATTTTTATACACCAATAACAAACTAACAGAAAGAGAAATAAGAAAAATAAAACAATCCCATTTACAATTAAATCTAAAAGAATAAAGTACCTTGGGATTAAATTTTACCAAGAAGTTGAAACACCTGTACTTGGAAAACGATGTGTCATTAAAGAAAGAAATTGAAGAAGATATGGATAACTGGAAGGATATATCCTGTTCATGCATAGAAATAATTAATATCTTAAAATGTGCATACCACCCACTGCATCTAAAAATCTAATGAGATTCCTACCAAAATACCAATGCATTTTTACAGAACTAGAATAATCCCAAAATATATATGGAACCAAAAAGACCCTTAATAGCCAAAGTAATCTTAAGAAAGAACAAAGTTGGAAATATCAGGTTACCTGATATTAAACTATACTATGCAGCTATTGTAATAAAAACAGCATGGTACTCCATGACACATAGATCAATGGACCAGAACAGAGAGCCCAGAAACAAATTCACACCTATATGGCTAATTAATGTATGACAACTGAGGCAAGAATATACAATGGGGTAAAGACAGTATCTTCAAAAAATGATCTCAAAATAATGGACAGACACATGAAAACAATGAAACTATATCATTTCCTGTTGCAAAAAGGTACAAGGATAAACTCAGAATGGATTAAAGACTGAAATTTTAGACCCCAAACCTAAAACTCCTAGAAGAAAACATAGGCAGTAAACTATTTGACTTCACTCTGAGTAATATAATTTTGGAAATGTCCCCTCAAGCAAAGGAAACAAAAAAATAAATAAACAAATGGGTCTACATCAAACTAAAGAGCTTTGCACAGCAATAAAGCCATCGAAAAATGAAAATCAACCTTCTAAATGTAAGAAGACATTTGCCAATGATATATCTGATAAAGGGTCAATATCCTAACTATATAAGAAATTCGTACAACTTATAACATCAAAAACAAATGAACAAACAAACAAACAAAAGCCTGACTTAAAAATGGGCACAGGACTTCTTCAAAGAAGACATACAGAAGGTCAACAGGCACATGAAAAGATATGTCACTAATCATCAGAGAGATGCAAATTAAAACTATAGTGAGATATTAACTCACACCTGTCAGAATGACTATCATCAATAGATCAACAGTCACTATGGAAAACAATTTGAGAGTTCCTCAAAAAAATTAAAAAAGCAAACAAATAAAAATTCATAGACAGGAACAACAGTATGGTGGTTACCACAGGAAAGGGGGTATAGAGTAAAGGGGGTCAAATGTATAGTGATAAAAAAGATTTGACTTTAGGTGGCTGGCACACAATGCAATATACAGATAATTTATCATAGAATTGCACACTTGAAACCTATATAATTTTATTAATCAATGTCACCCCAATAAATTAATTGAAAAATAAAAAAATAA